CTTATTTAAGTCAATTTCGAATGTACATGCCATACAATGCCAGAGACTATGTATAAATGTTTATAGATGTCCTTAACATTAGTCTATTTATTATAATATTTTTCTAGGCTAGTTTACGTAATGCAATACCCTTTCTTCAAAAATGTTTATCCTTTTCATCTAGTTCGAATAGGTAAAGTCAATACTAGGAAATTTAGAATATGATTGCGCTGTTTGTTCTAATTTTAGGTATCAGTTTTTGGTTTACAACGCGTCAGTTATTTACTACAACTATATTCGACCATTTTTACGTGATACATATCGACAATATTTATGCGATAGTTTAAGAGAAGTTGTTGATACTCTGACAACAATCAATGATCCGGATATTTTATGGCGTGCACAATTATTATTGTAAGTGAAAGTATATCAGGACTCTCTCGAGTATGGTCGGGATGGAACTCTTTGAGACTACTCTGGAAAGAGTAGACTATCGAATATTTATCGATATTTCTTCCATTTTATTGTAGTGAATTAGTTCGATGTTATTTGGATGCATCCAATATCAACTCAGCGAAAACAACAAGTCATAAATTACTTGAATTGTGCTCAGAACATAGTTTGCCGTTGTTATCTAACGTTTTACAATATACAGTACGAGAACGTATTTAAAGTCATTTCTGTTATTTTAACTTGTTTTGATTTGCTGTCTTTTTTATTCTTAGTCAGCACAGGATTTAATTTCTCATGGTGAACAAATTTCTTACGGCAAGAGCTTATTGTACAATACTATTTTGATTGAATTAGCGAATATGCACCGGTATTGTTAACTAATTTAACTATGTCTGAAAAATTAGTTTACGTTTTTGTTTCTTTTGTAGAGAAATTCATCAAACAGTATCGACTGATCGTGAACAAATGAAAAATGTATTTGATCGTATAATGGCTTATCCTCAACGAAGTGCTGTTCGAGGTCAGACAGCTAGATACGATTATTTAAATACAAATACTCCAAGAGATAGATCTGTTCAATTTTCAAATGTACCATCAAGAGACAACGAAAACATACTAGCAGGAGAAACAAGTCAATCAAAAAATATTGAGTACGTAGATTATTAAAGTATGTTCTAATTGTCTCTGTTCTGAATGTCTCTCTGATATTCTAGTGGGAGTCGTACTACATCCACTCAGAAGAAGGATTTGAACTTGACGCCATCAACATCGTTGACACAACAAGAAAAGTAGATGAAGACAATTTATTCATAGAATATTTATTTTTTTAACGTCTCTTCTTTATAGACATAGTTTATTGTTGGAACTTGGACGTCTCTCATTATTAATTCATTATACCGATTTAACCAAAGTTGTTATAGATGCATTAATGACAATTCGATTAAAAGTAGGTTTTTGAAATTTAGATATTTTATCCATATGATGTTCAAATTTTCCTTTTATTTTTTGAAGGAAGCGGATCGACATTTAGAAGTAACACTACTTCAAGCAGATTACTTAGTTAAACATTTGGGTGAAAATGAAGAAACATACATTAAAAGTTCATTCGATGTATGACGACATTTTCCACATTATTATACTTCAAAATACTTCAAATCTGAACTTATTGTTCTTTTAGACTCGTATGCGTGCTATTGAAATGTGTGAAGAATCACTAGAAACACTATTTCGTATATCTCAATCTGATTTAATTCAAACGGCTTGTATCTACATTTGGAATTTATGTTTACCCTTATTACAAACAAATTTAAGAAATAAAATACGAAAACCATTGACAACAATAGCAAATATTTTGGAAAAATTGCAAAGGTAACTTAATTTTTGACTACTTTCTTTGATTGATAATTAATGAATTAATTTGTTTGTATTTTTTAGTTTAAATTGGCAATTACGAAGTCAATTACACTTTGAATTAGCAAAAATCGAAGAAGATATTGAACAATTAGATTCAGCTAAAACAAATCTTTTAAAGGTACAATATTATTATATTTTAGATCAACTATGAAGCTACTTTCTCAATTGATTGTCGATGACTACAATATTTTTCATAGTACTCTTTTGCCTCTTTTAGGCTCGTACATTAGATGATCATGAAGTCTATACTGAACGTATTAATTTGGCTTTAGATCGATTAAATGTACGTACCGAATTATATAAACGTCCAGATTCAGATGAAGACAAAGTAGCTATGATTATAGAACAAGCTGGAAAAGCAAGTGTTGGTGCTAAGTCAAATCAACGTGCTCTACTTATTGAAGCATGTAATTTACTTGCACCAGACGCATTTAATGTGGTATTAGACAGTGAAAATCCAAATGGTAAGGAATAAAGTTTTCAATTAAATTCTATGATAATTTCTATACCTGTTTGTAGCTATTGGAAAAATTCGTGCTAATCCAACAGCACAATTAAAAGGTTTTGCTGAACATTATGAAAAATGTTTACAAAATACTGTACACTATGAAAGAATTATTGGAGAAACAAATCAGGATAAACGGTAAAAAATAAATAATAATGATGAAATAATGATAAATTTGAATAAGTCACAATTAGGCATGCACCAGTTACAGTTAACTGTAAAACTGTAATTATTATAATTGTAACTGTCATAGCTGTAACTGCTCATAACTGTGTGCAAATATTCTAGAGTGAGTTAGTCTTCTATGGTTTTCATACATTTTAAGAACGAGAATGTATGCAGGTCGTACAAGACTAATCACTCTAGAATATTTGCACACAGTTATGAGTAGTTACAGTTTTCACAGTTGCAGTTAACTGGTAAAAAACTGTAAATGGTGCATACCTAGTTACAATAGTTTATATTTAGTAAAACTATGAATTTACCTAATAAATTGTCTTTTTTTCGGTTAGTTTGAAATTGTGGGCTGATTTAACTATGATTGCACGAAAACAAGAAATATGGGATATTTGTCGAACAGCAGCTCGTTTCTGTCTCTTACATGATACAGATGAAAGACGAAAATTATTTTCAGAACAAACCGAAAAGTATATATCTAATGCACTTTATTATTAAATTGTCAAAATCAAGTTTTTTTTAATCTTTTACAGTAGTACAGCTGACAAAGATGCCTCATCTCTATCTTTATTTCAACGAGATTTACTAAGAATATTGGCTGAGGTTCATTTTATTGCAGGAGAAGTACGTATATATTCGAAAATATGCATTTAAAATTATCTGATAAATTTTATTTTAGGCACAAATCGAATTTATTCGTAGTCGTGGTGTTGAACTATTTGATGTTCCGGTACGTCCACCCATGCCAACTGTTCCCTCCGCAAGTAAAGTACAAGCACAATTAGAATCAGACAATGATTGGAAACATTACTGGTAAAAGCATGACCGTTTCATATGTATCAAAAGTCAATATTTCTCTTATATACTTTTCAGTCAATGGTTGAACAATCTTTCAACAAAAGCGTGCAATCATTTTTCTCAAGGTGCTAACATTGGCGTTTTACTAGCGGAAAGTTGGTTAATCTGTTGTGCTGGTGAATATTTATGGAATTATAATCGACATTTATTTTATTCGGATAGACATCGGATAATTATTGAACAATTAGTCAATGTTGTCAATGCTTTAAGAAAAGTTGGACATGAAAGGTACGAAAATGACGAATATTATTTACGGTGTAAGAATTTAGCAAAATTCTTTTTATTTAAGAGAAATTCTTCTCGTTGTTAATCTGTGTGTAGCATTAGCTACTGCCTACATTATTCCAACACTGAAACCAGAAATGGTTGAACCACCGGCAGATGTACAAACAACTCCGGAAAAACCAATTGTTGGAAAAAAAGGTGCCGGACAAAAAGATACTAAAACAGAACAAATACAACCGTCATCAACAGCAAAAACTGATGATTTAAAAACAGCTTTAGAAGTATGTTGAAATTAGCTATTTTTAAAACTAAAGTGTCACTTTATCCTTATGAAACATCACTAATATTATTAAGATGCTTGACTTTATACTTTATATAATGATTTATTACCAAAAAAATAATTGTAGAATGTTTTCTCACATTTTAGATATGTGAATATGCTATAAATCGAACGAATGGCGAACATTCACTGGATATAATTTCAATTAAAGATCGTCAACCAGTACTGCAATTGTGGATAACAATAAAACAACTTTTACAGCAAATACCAAAGAGTACAGTTATTCTAGGAGATGAAGATGTAAGCTGAAAGAAAAAATAAAAATTATGATCAAAGATCATCATAGAAATATTTTATATTTGTTTTTCTTTGATTCGATTTTAGGATAATCCATCCAGTCAAAATACATTGAGTCGGGCTGTATTAGCTGTTGATGCTTTATCCCGTTTAGATAGTGGGTGGTCCGATTATAAAGATGGTCTCGATTTGAAAAAGGTATTCATTATTCAACAGCAAATAAAATCCACTCCTCATGTGTTATTTTGATTTTAGACTGTATCATTTGTTGGTAGTTGTTCATGGCCCGATTCGTTAATTGAATTACAATTATGGTGTCGTCTATCAATAATTGGAAATCGAGCAAATGATGTTGAAGTAACAAATTTGTGTCGTGATAAGGCCCGAGAAATAATAACACTGTTTCAAACAAAAAAAGTTGACAAGTAAAAAAACGACGCTCAATTACCCAGTTATCACTGAAAGTATTTTGTTATTTTTACCTAGATTTCAATTATCGTTAGCCAATGAATATGTTGGACGAGCGTGCTGTGCACATGCTGAATGTCTTATGAAAACTATTGCTGGACAAAAGCAAGATAGAAAAGAGGCACTGGGTATATTCGCTGAAGCAGCAAGGTTTGTCGTTGACGGCTTGATATTTTAAGGCCTCCACTCTCAAATATGAAATTTTTGTGAAAAAGTCAATATTGAGCTAAGCATATTAATAGATAGCCCAAGATATCTGCTATCTGCATGTATAACAGTAAGATTTCACCGAAGATTTCTGCAAGTTTTCCAAGCAGTTTCCCGGAAGCGCTGAAAAACTGACTTTTCCACTACCTGTATGTTATCAATACGAAATCAAGAGAAAAAGTAGCTCTAAAGCGGCAGGGTTATAGAGCGAACATTTCTGATTAAAATGAACTGTCTTCCAACTCTAGGTGACGTTCCAACCAAAAGTTATAAGAATTTCAAATAGAAGCTCTAAAATATGCATCGTATACTAACAGCCATGACTTTATGTCAAAAGCGAACTTAGCGTTCATACCACTTCGTAGCTGCCGGATTTCTCCGTAACTGAGCGATGCAAAGAGCTCGGATTGGTCTTAAAATGAAGTTAACACACATGGCTAAGGAGTAATAGAGCCCAATTTTTTATAATCAGTCTAGATTGGTGATTAGGAAAACATTCTTTGTGAAAGTTAACGAAAATTTTTCGAAATTTTGACTTTTGGCGTTTATCATTATATAGAGAAGTAAAATATCAAAAATCGGGCTCTATTAGCCTCTAGCCACATGTGTTTTCGTCATTTTAAGGGTCTCTCCACGATTAAAACCTATAAGGAAAAATGATTTTTTTCTATAGTTATGCATCAAAAGCTGAACTGTACGAATTGACGATGCATATTGCTCGACATTTTTGGAATAATTGTCGTCCGATGATACAACGAAAGCTCGAAAGATGTTTATTGATGGATTTGTTGAATGAATTAAATCATTATATTAATTCTGTTTCTCCAAAGTCATTAGCTAAAGATTCAAAAGATGATCAGGTAAATTCGTTTGCTTATTAACTGGACAAAAAATAGTGTTCCAAACATTCATCTGATCGCTGATGGTAAAAAGAAAGAATCTACTTAAGTTTCGAGAGTACTATTATGTAAATATCCTCTATTTACTCAGCTACTCAGTGACCATCATTCCATACTGGTGTTTTCATCAATTTACCATCATTTATTAATCTTTAGAGTAAAATTAATTCGGGTACTGATAAATCACAGGATGTAAAATCAACGAAATCGATAACAAATGGAAAGAAATCTGTTAGTGATTCATCTACAACCACAACACTAAAAAAAGAGAAAAGTCAAGTAGCTAACATTGTAGAGGAAGAAGTGACCGCTAAACAAGATGATGATGCAGCTGTTCGATCGGCATTTTATGGAGTTCTAATTCAAGTTTATGTTGATAGGGTAAATTATGCAACTAACTCCTTTATAAAATCACACTTTTGTTTTCTTTTCTTGTTTTGTAGCATCAATGGACCACAGCCATTGATGTAATGGATCAAGCACTATCAGTATTACCTCGTACAAAACATCGACTTATCATTTATAAATATCGAGTATTAATCAAATCAAAACTAGGATTATCTATCTCTATGGATATTCAAAAGTTTCGAGAAGAAGGAGAATCATCACTAGCTAGAATGTGGAGACATGTTGCTCTTATGGCTAAAACACGTAATGCTGTCATTCAAGCATATCAAAATGCAATTGGCACATTACAAGTGAGTCACGTACAGTATGATATTAATTATTATTCATTATCATAAATTTTTAGTCTCATGAGACATATTGGCAAAAAATAGATTATATTATTGAATTAGCATGTTGTTTATACAGTAACGAATACTTGATAGATAATGCTGTTGATTTAATTGATTGGGCTATTGATCTTTTAATGACTTCAGAAAGAGCATTAAAAGAAGAACAAACAAATGAAAATGGTAAGACGTTAATACTAAATAAAAAATTTCTAGATGATATTTTCTATTAAACTAAATGAGATGATTAACTTATTAAGTAGAAATGATTTAGCTACAGTTAGAAAAAAATATGATTTATATTCGATCGTGCTTGTACAAAATAAGCACACCCTCACTCTCATTCTTACATGTACCTACAGTATAGGATGTGATTATAGTGTGCAAGTGCCGATCATTTTCTTCTTACAAGTATATTTTCGTTTTTTTAAGGAGCTAATGTTGAAGCAGGACAACATTCTAATATGTCAAACAAACGTGATACTCAAATGGGTGAAGCTGGAAGTTTACCTGATATGGGTCATATTGGTCCAACAAAACCTTCTGGTACAATAGAAAATTTAAGTTTTTATAGGTCTTCAGTATTTTAGTTTTAAACTATTATAGGTCCTAATCATCTATTATCCGACTTAAATGTGAACGATATAAATGAGGTTAAACGCTTAGAATACTTGTGTCGTTGTCACATTTTATTAGCTCAAATATGTAGAAGAAACAGACCAGAATATGTTGAATATTTACAAAAAGCATATTGGTTTATTATGAGATTATGGCAGGTTAGCTGACGCGCTCAAATTGCTGTTCTTTCATTCTTACTATCGGATCACATTCCTATTAGTTCAAAATACATTATATAATAGCCAATAGAGAGGAGGAGAAAATTTTTAAGGTAAACTTCTTATCTTCTGTATTAAATTATGTATTACATTCCACATCATATTTGCCTTGTCTTTTTTCTGTACTCCAAATTTGCAGGTTATATATAAAGCAGATGTCATCCTTATGTATTGTCACATTTTGTTTCGTTCGCTAGTTATAGTCTATCAATTTTGCTATATATCAGAGGATGAAGAAGCCAATATGTCACAGAAATAAGTGAGCCAGATCATGGTTCTTATGACATATTTTAAAGATCAGTTTCATGGGAAAGAATCCTCACGAAATTGTTACTCACGCTTCCGACGCCTCTGGTCATAGTTCTAATATATTTGAAACATTGTTTCGCAATCTTTTCAGTGTGGTTTAAATGATTGTATTGAAATAACTAAACAAGTCGAACTTGAACAGCAGCAACAACAGGGGAATTTTTTGAAAGTAGATACAATAACAGATTCAAAAGCACGTAAAAAATCTCCGAAAGTTGAGAAAAAATCAGAGCAACCGGCTAAAGGAGCGGGAGGAAGCAAACCGGGTGATAAAACTGTACAGGTTAGATTGAGAATAAGAATTTAAAATTTTTATTTATTCCTTTATTTTTCGCTTTTTAAGAGTAAACCAGTGATCGAAACGTCAACTTCAAAAAGTCTAATAGATTGGGCACTGTATTTACCGAACGAAGACACGTTAGCCACCTTTGCACTTCCAACAGCTAAACAACGTGGTATTAATCGAAATACTATATCGAAACCAGTAAGTAGATCAAAACAGGTTTGACCGTGAAATTATATTGGATATTCGCTAGTCGATCGATTATTTTTAGTTATTATCATTTTATTATTTTGATATGCTAATAAATCTTTTACGTGAATATGGTTTTAATCATTTTTGCTTGCCAATACTCAGTTTAATGCGTCTAATTGGACATTCCATAGTTCAAAGCGCAGCTATGAAAACTTATGTTCTTTTACGGTAATTAACTCTTATTTTCTCACAAACTTATTCATCACACTAAATTGTATTCAACTTTTTAAGAATTCAACAAGTTTGTCAAGAATTAAATTTAATTGATTCAATGCAGCAAGTAGCTCTTTTAGCACGACCATATGGAATCAAAGAAGAAGATTTGGCAACGTAAGCATATGCTATAAGATATAAATAGTATTTTTTACAACTTTCTATGTGTTTAGTTCTCGTTCTGAAATGCTTATTTACACAAAATTACTTGTTCAACAAACCGAAGAAGAGGCGCAATTTGAAACAATGATTGGTACAAGAAGTGAAGCTAAGTCTTATGCAACATCAGCATATTCAAATAAAAATTCTTCTACACTCGCCGTATGTACAATTTTCGAAATATTTCTGTACTCTATGAAAGTTTTTCTTCTTCTTTTCGAAGGCTACTGATGATAAATCAATAATATCGTGCGAATTACCTGGTGATAAACAGACATTAAATAAATTAATTCTTAGAAATATTTGGTTACAAACAGCACAAATTCTATTTGAACTCAACTATATTCATGAAGCAAAAGATGTTTTACAAGAAGTTCTAAAAAGTGCAAAAGTAAATTGAAAACTATATTTTACTATCAGCATATATAAACTAAAATTTTCTTTTCAGATATACGATGATAGTATAACGGAGAAAAAAGCGTGTGTACTACTAGGTGAAATTGCTTTACATGAAAAACGATTCGAACAAGCGATTGAATTAGCCATACAAGGACAAGTAAGTGAATAGATGCATCTCAACTTCGTTCAACAAATTTAGATTTTAAATATCTTTTTTAGAAATTGCCAATAGATGAAACTCATTGGTTTCGTTCTGTAGCGGTAATTTCTGATGCTTTAGCACAACAGAATACATTGGACGATTCGTATGCTTATAAAAAAGTAAGTAGTTAAAAATAATTGTTGAAATATTAATATATAAAGTTATTAATTATATTCAGAGGAAAGCCATTTTAGAAACAGCGATTAAACGTTTAGAAACTATTGCACAATTAAAGATAAATAAAGTTTATAGTATTGCTTATGCTGCTTCACTTTTAACAGCAAGGTATCTATGTTTAATAATGAATACTCTAATCAATATTTAACACATATATTCCGTATATCTTTAGAAAAAATCAATTATTACATTCGTTAATATTGACAAAATGTACCGATTCTCTCGATAATTCAATGTACTACAGTTTTCAAGAAATTATTCAAGTGTGTACAGTTTTAATTGTCACTGTGCTATCGAGTATCAATGTTATCGTCTATCTTAGCGTAACGATATAATATATGATAATTTATTGGGTCTTAATCATGAATTTGATGCAGCTGAAATAATGTTAAAATCAATTGAAATTATTCGAAAACTTGCACAAGATTCACGCACTAATGGGCAAAAACGAAATTATTTGATCGAAGTAGTTATTCGTATTGTTATTTGATCTTTTTATTTCGAAAAGTATTGATATCTCGTGACAATGTTTGTCTTAAACAAAACATTGAAATTCTGGTAGAAACTTAGTTTTACGAAGAATATCGAGTTTTGATGATTTTCATCAAAAATTAAGAAATTTATGTTTGATTCAGAATTATTTTAAATCACTTGAGAACTGTAGAACAAACTTCATTTTATATCCTAAACATGATTTATTGACTATGAGATCAACACGCGGTTGAGATTTAACTGTATTTTCAGATGGTTTTCCAGAAATCTCCGTTAATAAGCAATAACTTATTTGACTTTTTAAGTTATGAAATCATGTTTAACATCTAAAATGAAGTTTATTCTACAGTTCTCAAGTGATTTAAAATAATTCTGAATCAAACATAAACTCCTTAATTTTTGGTGAAAATCGTCAAAACTCGATATTTTTCGTAAAACTAAGTTTCTACTAGTCTATGTTTTTTTAAAAACAAACATTACCATGAGACTCAGCATAGTCAATTACGTCCAGTTCATCTAGTTTGAAGGTTATTATCAGTCGCGTGATACCAATCTCAGAACCCTAAAAAAATTCGATCCCGTACGGACGGAAACAGGCTCTTTCGAATGAATAAAATCGCGAGACTTTTTTCATTCTTGAGTTATTTTATAATTGATCAAGTCTATTCTTTTAACGGATAGATAGTACATGAATGGAGTTTAGAGAAAAAAATTAGTGTTAATTTAATCTGAATAACATTTCACTACCTTTTTAGGCTGTTGAAATGTTGCTTCTAATATCGAACATATTAACAAAACGTTGGCAAGAAATTCGATCAATATCTAATTTGTCTGATGTGGGTATTTTAACATACTTTACTAATAGTTTTAAGAGTGATATTGTTCTTCTTGTCTTAGATAGCACCGATGCAATTTCCAATTCAACGTCAACTGGTTCAAATTCAACTAAATTTAAGCTCAATATTTATCGATCTATTAGAAATATACGCATGGGATTGTTTGCAAGAGAGAAAAAGACGAAAATATACGAATGCTGTTAATTTAGTATGATGAATAGGAGACGTAAATATGTTTATAACGACTTGTTTTCTTTATTTTTAAATATAGGCTGTTGAAGATTTTGTTGAACAAGAAAAAACAGTTGAAACTGATACAATAAAATGGAAAGAAATAGCAAAGTAATTTATTTGAATCACCTTTTTAATGATTGTCATGTAAATCTATCTAAGAGAAAGCAAAACTCAATTAATCATTGAATTGTCACAGTTAGGCAGATATTATGGAGAATTTGCGCTTGCCGCCAGATCAAAACTTCGAACCTTTCGAGCGGCACATAGATAATTAATACATTATCTAGTCTAGGGATGTCTGGAAGTTTGAGGATTTTTCGAATTTTTGAGAGTTTTGAGTGATGTTAATTCAACTACTACAACACACAACTATGTAGACTATGAGAACTTTCAAGCACAGACCAACGCCTTGAAAACTACTCACAACGATAAGAATGATTCCTCGAGAACTATGAGAACTATTCACAACCATAAGAATTATTTCGAACTATTTATTGAGAACCATGAGAAGTATGAGAACTATTCAGATCTATGAACTGGAATGATACTTGATGGCTCACTCTCACGCCACCCGTCTTCTCCCCGAGCTCTACAGTGGAGGAATACCAAACCTTTTCGACCTCAAAATAAGATTGTGATTAACTAGAGTATAACTGGACAGTTCTCAATGAATAGTTCTCATAGTTGTAAATAATTTTCATGGAGTTGGTCTATGCGTGAAAGTTCTCATAATCTGCATTGCAGTCTCTGAATTGACATTACTCACATCCCAATCATCCCAAAAAACCCAAACATCTCAAAAATCCTGAAGTAATAAATCATTTTTCTGCTTGTAGCAACATTCACATTTCTAAAGTTTTCGAGATTGCCGCAAATGCAACTCCTCCAATCGTTGGTCAGACAGGACTTTCAACTATTATATTGGAATGATGATTTGAGAGAGAGAGAGAGAGAGAGTGCAGATTTCAAGACTTATCCGACTGAGTCTTTCTTTGAAAACATTTTTAAACTTGCCTATGAATAAACTCAGTATTGGATTTAAGCATCGTATCCTCTGATTATTTAGAATATTACCAGACAAATTAACTGTATCACTTATGAGTATTATGGAGTTAAGTGGAGGCGGTAGTGATAAACCTGTTAAAGCAAAGGTAAGGCATTTTATAAATCTTTTCTTTGTAAGAATCGAAAGTATTGTGTTACTTTTAGGTTCTATTTTATTTGGGGAAAGTATATTCGATACTTGGACATAATTTTGGCATAGAATATCCATTAGAATGGCAACCAAAAATAAAAGTAATATTTTGATAAAAGTTTTTGCTATTTTTATTTATTTTTCACTTTTCAAGGATATATTATCAAAAATGGCTGAAGTTGTTGAAAAACCATCATCTAAAGCAAAATTACGTAATGAATCGGTGGATTCTAAATCGAGTATATTGAATCAAACGTCACCTGTTATCGAAAATGAAAATGAATTACGTTCAATTATATTACAACAAAAAGTATTATATTTATTATAAAAATCTTTTTGGTTTTTTTATAAATGTTTGATTTTATTATATAGGAAGAGTTAAATAATTCATTGCAATTGTTAGGACAGTCTATGGAATGTTGTTTACAATCACTTAACATCGCTCTAACAATTCAAGATAAAGTAATTTAATTTTTTTTCTAATTTATTTACGCTAAAATGAATATTTCCATCGTTTTAGGAACTCATTCGTGATACAAGTCTTCTATTATGTGATACCATTGGACAATTTGATCCAGTGAACAGTATCATTTATTTAGCACTAAGTCAAGTAGGTTAAATGAACAAAATGTATAGTTTAATACAACTAAACGTTGAATTATTAGATAAAACTATAGTTCTAATTTTTAGAGTGCATCAACATCTTTATATACCGAATCGGTGCTAAGACGTTCATGTTCAATTCCAAGTAATTCGGAACTATCATCTCTTTTGAAAATGATCGATCGTATTAAACAACAACAAATATTATCGAATTCACAATATGGACTTGTTCAACGAAATATTACAGAAACACTTAAAACTTCCAGTGTATGAATAATAACTATTTTTCTGTAATTCTTTACTATACACACTTCTTTATCATCTTTTTTTAGCCATGGAAATTTATGACAATTAAATCTCAATATTATGAATTAACAAAAGATATGCCAACATCATTTAATTACGTTATTTTACAACATTCGACTACTGGGTATTTATCTTATACTAGAGATTATATGATCTTAATTAATCATATTTGTTTTCTTCTTTTTTTTAGAAATCATTTATATGCATCAATCTTTAATAAGTCAAAATTGACGCAAACAGCCAGTAAAACAAGTGGAGGAAAAGGCACAGGAGGTACAGATAAAAAGGTTTCATCAATATCCATTTTACTAGATCTCCATATATTCATACTTCTATTAAATCTGAAACAGAATCACCATCATTAGCTATACATCGTTGGTTCTTCAACATTTTATTGATTCTAGTTTTAACAATATCAAATCTGAATGTAACAATTACAATCATTATTCTTTTGTAGGTCAAGTACAACAGGCTAGTGGTATAGTAATACCTCAAATAATAAAAGTTGAAGTTGATCGAGAAAAATTTATTGAACTAATACAAGAATTTGATAATTGGAAGTACGACTATCAACAATGTTTGCAACGTTACGAAGCAAAAATTGTACATAAAGCAGCAAAACAGACAATGTTAAATTCAGAACAAGTAAGTGTTTTTTTAGTTATAGAAGATAAGTACAAATGATACGCATAGCGTGTATTTGATTACAATTGAATGAAACAATATATTTTCTGGTGAAAAAAGTTAATAATAACGAATTGAAATTCAACAGTTGACACTTGATGTTCTTCAATTTTTGTCAATATAATTTTAGGTTAAAAAGACTCTTCATAGTATAGAATTATCTACTGTTTCGACAACTGGACAGGTTAAATTAAATGTCTCATTTTAATTATATACCTATAAACACATATATATATATATATGTATATATTAAGCTTCATAAATATTTGATAATGTATGAATGAACAAGCGACTAGTGAAATACTATTATTGTTTTTTTGTAATAGAACTATTATTTGTTCATTTATTCATTTTCATTTATTTATTTCTTGTAATTCATTGAATTTATTTGAACTGCTTTTATTTTGTACCTCAACTGAGCCAAAATAACGAGTAGTTTGTAATATCAAATTTTCCGTAATAATAAACCTTCTTTCATATTTAACTGTGATTATAGTTCGTTACGTTTTCTGTTGTAGTGGTAATATGTTAGCTTTACACACCGTCAATACTTTTTCTGCACTGCTTCTACTTATCGATATTAAAATTTCCGTTATATTTTATTGACTCGTCTATGTTATTTCAGGCTGAAACAGTTGATACGACTACAATTGAAGATTTTAAATCTCGTTTTGACAACCTTCTTAAAGCAATGAACGACTATTTTACACCTATATCATCACTTTTCACTGGTTATTTAGAGTAAGTATTTGTTTCGATCAGTTAGAAAAATTGAATTAACACTAAATTTCATTTCTAGCATTGATAAAACATATGATTTGAGATCACAAATTAGTCCAGATAATTTAATTCTACTTCTTGATCCAATATTAACCCGTTTACCATTGGAAGCATTAGAAATATTTAAACATGTTCAAATTGGAAGTATATCAAGGGATTTTTCATTACAATCATTATACTATAGGTTATTTTGGAATGTAGTCGACGAACCAATTGATGGTAAATATCAATTTGTATGAGTGTATAAATTCATTTTCTTTTTTAAAATTTTGTTGTGTCAGAAAAGGATATTAGAGAGACTGTACGTAGTAAAAAATCTATCAAATCTATACGTGAACAACAAAAATCGACTAGTGGATCCAAATCACCACCATTTTTCACTGAATTATCAACATTAAAAACATTATCGACAACAAAAACAAAATCAAGTGATGAATAAATTAGACGATCTCTTCTTGCTTATCTTATCCACTATTCATTTTCTTATACTTTTTTGCCTTTATTTAGCTATTTTTATTCTTAGGCTTCTTCTGCGCCTGTAAAGGAAACTTGTATAAGTTTCTCTATGTAGGATCGCTTATCTTCAAGTTTAACTGATAATAGTTGATAACTTCTATGTCACTATCATTTCTCTTTTAGAAAGCAAAAAGAAAGACAAGAAAGAAAAAGAGGTAGAGATATTAGTATTACGTACAGACCATAAATATTGTTTATCTTTTGTTATTGTATTACGTTAGCCTACTGAAAATGTTGAAATACAAACAGTTGATCCTGCTAATGTGTTTTATTTCACCGACCCAGCTATTTTCCAAGCAAAAGCTGGTGAGTTAATTATAAAAAATGATAATTTCATTTTCATTATATTTGTCTCCTAAATTATCAATGTATTGGATTTTTTCCAGAGAGTAACAATAAAAATCCAAGTGTATTTGATATTCTTCGTCAGCGTTTTCCACAGTTAGTTGCAAAATGGAAAACAATCAAGCAGGAGAGTTCAGCATTAAAGTACGTACCAATATTAATAAAAGATAGTATTGATTTATTTTTTTGATATTTTTGAAAATATTTCATTGAAATTTTTGCGTTCTTGATCTTTTTAATTTATTCAAATTGACAAAAAGATATTGTAGTTTTACATTTTTTTTTCCCTATTTACTACAGGAAAAATATTCATTCAACGTAAGAAAAATTACGTCATATTTTGCATGTTTGGATTCATCTAGTGTCTGTGTTGAATAGTAGATGGATAAATATGTACGTGGGTTGAAAAATGTGTACAAATAAGATACAGTTTTATCGTTCGTATTGTATTTCTAAAATTGACAATTCCATTAGTCGTAATGACAAAATAGATCACACTAAACACTTTGTAAGTTCATATGCATGAAGTTCACTTTTCTCACTGGACTCTTCTACTTTTTACAGAAATTTAATAAAATTAGTAAATTATGTTGTTGTGTTTCAGTGACTTGTTATAAATAATTTCTTCCATAATAAAAGAACACAATAAAATCAAAATACATTAGTAAAACGTTCTTTTTTAACATTCAAGATTTTGCAAGCAAAAATATACTATTTCTTTCTGAAAACATTTTTGGATTCAATAAATGCTAATTTCTAATTTTTCTTGTTAATATTTCTAGACAAGAAACCGTTCTGTCTAAAATCTTTCATTTTGATTTTGATAAGAGATCTGTTAAAATTATACATTTGTAAACCATCTTTGTTACTTATGTAACATCTTTTTATTAAAAAAAACGAAATCAAATTTCATTTGTTTTATAACTTGTATCTTATCTATTTATTATATGAATAAGAATAACAAATTCTTATTTATTGGTTATTTGATTTTTAGTATTTCTGAAATTGAACGGGCTACAAACGATGGATCCGGACTAATCTATTATGGTTCAAATACATTCAATAATCTAATTGGTCATTATAAAATACCAAATATTTCTAAAGCAGGTATAATGTATTGTAGTGATATTATCAATATTTATCACTTGTAAAAGTTAATATGTTGTTTACAGGGTGTTCCGTAATATGTTCATTCGATCGTACATCAACAAGTTCAAGTTTTGTTAATGAAACGAATCGTAACACAATTCAAAAGTAAAATGAAGATTAAAACATTAATTATTTTGCTGAAAAACTTATTCAGTTTATATTATTTTAGTTGGAATGAAATTCAATTAGATCGTTCAACGGAAAATGCTCTGTTATTAAGTTGTGGCGCATTTAAATTAATTTTACAAAATCAGTGGACAGCTACGCTAAATGAGAATGAAACTTCAATTATAAATACATTCACAGGTAAGAGTAAACAATAGATATTATCTTCTTTTTAATGTCGTTCACAATATTCTTTAGATGTTGCAACGTTAAAATGTTCTTTGGGACAAGCTCTACGTTTAACTGTCTATCCTTATTTTCGTCCTGTTGAAGCAGATACAACGACTGAGAAAATGAATGATAAGAAAAAAGTAGCGACAGCAAAAGGTGGAAAACGTTCGCCATCACCAAAAAGTGGATCCAAAACTAAAGGTTCAGATGCAGCAAAAAAAAAACAACGATCACCTTCGCCTATCAAGACAGGTAAGAAAGAAAAATCATTCGCTCATTTAGTAAATATACTCTTATTATCATATTTGTAGCAGAAACAATCGACGAAAATATTCCAGAACAGCGTCAACGTCCGCCTATAGAACTAAAAACCATAAATCCAGTCATCTATGGTTTGCCAAATTATACATTTTTACCTTGATTTTGTTTCTCTTCAATGTTTCTAAGTGTTTTTTTTCTCCTTTTTATTTATTTATATTTTGTAAGTCAGTTTTTGTAATAAACAAACTATATAATACTTCGATTCTAGAAAAATTTTATCGCCTTTCGTAGCTTGGCGTCGAATGATCATCACTTTTTCACCTTGAAACCTATAACTATTAATTTGTGGCGATTTCTCAGTCATTCAGTATTTCCCTTATTTAACATCAAATATGATAAAAAAAATTTAACTTTGAGATACATACCAAAATAAAATTAATTTTCTTTTTATATTTTTACGTAAGCTCTGTATTTTATTTCAAGTAATCTCACAAATGAACTGTACGTTACTTACGTATTGATTGAATTTTGCTAAGATTTTTTACGTTAATAGTTACAGTATAACTCGAATGACTAAGAGGAACACTAGAGGTGATAGTGTTATATATGCGAATGTAATTAATTTTGAGATCAAACTGACACAATTAATTCGAAAGTGTATTACAAGAAGACGACGGAGGAAATAGAAAAATAATAGAATTTTTTTTCTTCTATTTGCTTGTGTGGTTCACTAAAATCTTTTAAGTAAACTTTTATCTAAGAATGCTTATTCCATATATAAATTGATGTATATGTTAGCGTCTAAAGTAAAATTCAGTCCTAAACTAAATAAACTGTAAATTTCAGTATGAACTAGTCCAAAGTGAATTGAAAACGATACAGATTCTGTGATCTAAGAGTTTTGAAAATGAGAAAAAAACCACAAAGCTTCTATAAAACCTTCATTCCCGACCAATTTCCAGAAGTCAGAATCTGCTTCAACTTATGTGCTGACTGCACCGAGTACAGGTCATTTCAAAGGAAGATTTTTTTATCAAACAGACTTTAGTTTTGGTTTTTCTGTAATAACAGTATGAAAAGACGAAATAAAAAACCCTTTGAGTTTTTATTATTAGAACTTTTGTACAGTAGATTATGGAAAAGGCTGTTTTAGAAAATGTAATGTTATCAGTAAGATTTTTAGACCTCTTTGAATTAAAGCTTTTTAATCTTTGAAATACCAACTGATAACATTATGTTTTATTAATAGAACGTGTTGCAGAGTTGTAACCGATCTGGAAATACTAGACCGGTCCGGTCCGGCCAATCACCGGCCGGTCTAAAAATATTTCCAGACTGGTAAAAACCGGCGAGTTCATCAAGTTTTTTCAAGTAATAACGTTGATATTAGGGACAAAATTTGTAGTGTGTAAATGTAATAGTCTGTCTCAAGCAGTCATTTGTCGAATGATGAAACATCACGAATAATTTGAAAATAAATTTGGGAAGAGATTCACTATGTCAAATAACAAAGCCAATTAAGACGAATTTTGGTTAGGAAGCTACGGTATCGACATATCGAAAGTAAAAAATTAGATTAACATTAAAGAAAAAAGATAAAGCATATAAACGCCAATACGTGACAATGTTCCGATTGCTAAGATATTTTAAGCAATAAATAATATGACTTTGTCTTTGAAAACAAATTGAAAGAATAAAAAGAAAAATTTACATTTCAAATAAGATTGTCGCTCTCTCTTTCCTTTAAAAAACTACTAAGCACCCATACATAGTATCTTTCTGATGAAAAATGAATGAATATGCACAACTTTGTGAAACCGGTAAAAAC